GTGTAGATTGAAGCAAATTAATTTGTTTGTGATAACTAGTAATTGGGGCATCTTTAATATCAGTAAATAAAAAACTGCGGGATCATTCGCAAGTTGTTTGTTTTTGGAGTCATCGACCTCGTAGTCGATAGGTTACGAAGGACGATGATATTGCACCAGATATACAGGACGGAGGGCAAACCAGTCGGGATGCGTGTACCACGTGGTATAGGCGACGACGTGGAAGGGGATGTGAGCAGGTGGTAGCAGACGGAGCTTTTATACCGAAATACTAGTGGTTGACACTTCATCAAGTGTTAAGCAGGATTGCTCAGATTTCTGCTTCTGCTGCTGCTTACGACCGGTGTTGACCTCTGTTCTGATGTCCAGAAGGGTGGTCTAGGAAAGCGCAAAATGCATGTTTGTGACAATTCTTGGTGTAAGATCATGCGTCCTAGCAGTAGACGTGTGAGTGTTATAGGCATCATGGCCTTGTATACTAACTCCATGCAGTTTGTTTTATTAACTGTCTGGAATTGGCTAATAACATCAATGTGCTGCTCGTTAGAGTTTATCAAACATTATCCGCTGTCATTTGCATTTATGCACAACCATTCTTCCCAGTTTTAACTATCTCACACTCAGACCTTTATTGCCTCGAATTCACGCCTAGACCCTTATCCCTTCCTTAGCTCTTTACTCCATAGCTCTCATCGGTATCTAAGACAGTTGCAGAGGGCATCCTGATTTCGGATTAGACGGCATCTCTATCCACCTACCGATGACCCTAGTGGCTTGTCTGGTGTCATTTCAACCTCCGGCATTTTAAATCGGGCTTTCATCTGCCTGCAGTTCCATCGCCACATCTCTCGCCTTTTTCTTTGTCAAGTGATGGATTCTTACGAGCTGTTGAGAGTGAATCAAATGCCTGATGCTCATTGAAGGATTCCTTGGATATCTGCTGTCCACATATCTATCTGTGAGTCTATTTCTTCCTACCTCTCCAATTGCTACTAATTTGATAGGTATGAGACAAAGAAAGAACTACTGAGATGCTCTTTTTGAAGTTGATAGAGGAGGAACCATAGATGTATATGGAGAGCGTAGACTCCCTCTATTGATAGCGTAATCCTCTTAATAATCGGCCATTTAAAAGATTTGCAGAGATGGCTTAGCACAAATCGAGTGGAACATTAGGAACAAACATAAAATTTGTCTTTTATTTTGGCTAATTGTCAAATTTTACTCTTAACGCTAGCAGACTTGGAAATCATTACATGGGGAGACGCAGTATAGAGGTCTATTATCCGCACACCAAAGTCTTGGTCGAAGATCTTGTACTGCAGACGAACTGATTTCCCATTCCATTACTCCACTAACACTTAC